GGGACGGGCCCCAGTGAGGCTGGCTGAGCCTGGCGGCGGGGACCGCGAAGGGGCCGCGGGCCTGGCGGCGATCCGGGACGCCGCGGGAAGGCCCGTCGCCCTCCAGGACGTAGACCTCCAGCGGGCCGGAGTCGTTGTGGCCGCCCGCCTCCTGGGCGAAGACCAGGTCCAGGAGCAGGTGACGGGCCCCGTCCCGGGCCACCCAGCCGGTCCACAGGGACTTGGCGACGCCCGCGAGCTTTTTGGCGCAGGCTTGGTAAATAGGGAGGGAGGCGTTTCTGCCCGGGTGAAGAGGAGCCTCTCGCCACTGAAACGAGAGTCGACAGGGTTTTGCGCGGCGAGATGACGGCCTACCTGCCCACCCGGCTGTGGGGATTCGGAGGAGGTGCTTTCCCCCAGGCAGATATTATCCACCCACCCATCCATCCAATCATGTAGCAGCTTATTCCAGTACGGGGTCTCGGGGTGGGGGAGCTGGAGTCTATCCCAGCAAGCAACGGGCGCGAGGCAGGGTACACGCCAGTCCATCACGGGGCACACACACACACACACACACACACACACACACACACACACACCAGGGCCAACTTTCCCAGAAGCCAGCATGTCTTCGGACTGTGGGAGCGAACCACAAAAAAACACACAGGAAATCCATGCGAACACATGCAAACTCCACACAGACAGCACCCCGTGTCCTCAGCCCAATTGAACCCGGGACCCCAGCGCTGTGATGGCGCCGCCCGGCAGATGCCATCACCTCGTAGCAGAGTTCGGGAGAATACAGCTGCTGAACTTGGCACCCCTGGAGTATTTCCGAGCACCACGCAGATGCTGATGATTTAGAACTGACTCCTGAAGCAGCTGATCAGCCTCAGCAACTCCGGAGCTGGACGCCGCGGTCCAGCGGTCCAGCGGGTCAGGGGAAGAGCAGGACCGACGACCCTTCAAACCCTCGCTCTGGGAGAGCCACAACCCCCAGCAGGTCTTTAAGATGGAGCGTCAAAGCGCTTTACAGGTAATGGGGATTTCCTCCACCCCCACCAGTGTGTACCCCCACCTGGATGAGGCGCCAGTCCGCTCCCCACACCCCAGCTCTCAGTGGGGAGGAGAGCAGAGTGATGGAGCCAGTTCAGAGAGGGGGGTTATTAGGAGGCCATGATGGGTAAAGGCCAGGGGGGAAATTTGGCCAGGACACCGGGGTAACACCCCTACTCTTTTCGAGAAACGCCCTGGGATTTTTAATGACCACAGAGAGTCAGGACCTCGGTTTGACGTCTCATCCGATCTCATCAGACTGCTGGTGGTCTCGGGAGCCCTTCAAACTGAGCTGGACCGTTACCCCCCCGAACGCAGACTTTGGGTCAGAACCAGAACTCACGGCTTTCTCTGGGTGCTGCTTCCACTGCAGGCTCGACAGCGTCGCGGTGTTCAGGAGGTCTTCTGCAAAGAAAGAGAGTTGATCCGTGTGCCGTCCTCAGCTGCCATCTCTCCAGGGGCTGCGGCCCCGGCCCCCATCTGTCTGGACAAAAGCTTTTGTCCCAAACCTAAATGCCACTGTTTTTTTTTTGGGGGGGTGGACCCATCCTACATAGTGATGTGCCTATCTAGGGGCTGTTCCTCATCGGCTGTGAAAGACGTAGGGACACAAGACGGGTCACAAAGAGGAGGAGAGAAGGCTATTCAGCCCATCCTACCCATCTGGGTGCTGGCAGC